GCATTCAGGCGGGCGCGGACACGTGCTGCTGAGCATGGTGGCACGTGGTACCGAGGGCAATGGCGGAGCGCGCGCTCCTTGGGGGCACAGTCTGCTGGAAAGACGATATCAAGCCTGCACAACGTCTCAGAGCGCCGAGCGCCAACACTGCAGGGGCGAGCCCCGCGACTGAGGGTGGTTACATACAATGTAGGCGGAATGAGTGCTGATCTCTATGACATATTCGTCACTTGGTTGCATGAGCAGAACGTTGCCGATATTGTGGTGGTTCAAGAAACTCATTGGGGGTTAGGACGCACAGAGGGACAGTGGACGATTGGGCAGTGGCATTTCCTGACCAGTGCGGATCCGTCCACTCGTTATGCTGGAGTGTGCGTGTGTATTTCTTCTAAATGGGCTTCCTCTGATAACATTACCTACAGTATTTGGGCTCCAGGGCGCATTCTCCATGTCAGAATTTCTGGATACACTGTGCCGGTTGATATCATTGCTGTCTACCAGTGGGTACTTAGCGACGGCTCTTCTGGGCAAAGTACACAACGCCGTACTGCGTTGTGGTCACAGCTGAACAGGCTCCTGGGCACACTTCCCGCGAGGAATGTTCTGGCCATTGCTGGTGATTTTAACACGGCGTGTCGGCAGCAGGGTGGACACATTGGCTCAGGCACGCTCTTCCAGGCTCGCACCGAGGATTTGGATTTTGTGCATCTGATTCAGACTTATGATCTCTGTATCTTGAACAGCTGGGGTCGCGCGCGAGCTCAGCACTGCGCTACCTACCTCAACGGTGACGTCAAAACCCAGATTGACTTCGTTTTAACCCGCAGAACCCTTGTTGATCGGCAGGCTCGCTGCGCTGGCCCTTTGGCACTGGACCTTGCACCGTGGCGGTTGGGACCGAGGCATAGGCCGGTTAGAGCGAGCATTGCTATTCAGGGTTGTTGGCTGCTTCGCACACGCGATAAGGGCCGTGGGGGCCCTGCATATTCCGTTCAGGATCTAAGAGCTGCTGCGACTGCAGGGTCAGAGCTTTGCGCAGCAAGCGCGTGCATTGGTGCAGGCGCAATCTGCACCTCTGACGGTTGCTGCGCTGAACCGGCTTGTGCTTCCGCTGTGTAAGAGGTTTTTCCCTGCCAGGCGACGTGCTAAGGCACACGCATACCAGTCGGTAGAAGTGGCTACTGCTATTGCTGATATGTGGAGAGCGTATCATCGCATGCGTAGTGCTCCCAGACATGTTAATCTTAAACGTCGGGTTTTTGAGGCTATTAGACGCATCAACCGTTTTCGGGTTCTTTGCCGTGGGGTTAGGCGGGCCAGCCTCTCCTACCGAAAGCAGCGAGTGCATGCCCTCATTGACCGTGCTGCCGCGGCTGCTGGCAAAGATCAGATGACTGAGATTTACCATGTCTGCAAGCAATTAGCCCCTAAACAGCGTAGGGAGAAAGTCTGCATTCGAAGTGCCACAGGCAGCACGCTCAGTCCAGCCGAGCAATTCGATGCCATCCACGGGCCGAATCCACGGGTATTTCAGTAAGGTTTTTAGTCACCCCAGTATGGTCGGGTTTTCTGGGACCTGTGTTGCCCCGGTTCTCACACAAGGTGAGATCCTTAATGCCATCAAGGACCTTAAGCCCCGTAAGGCTGTTCCCAGCACTAGTCTGCCTGTGGAGGTTTGGCAAGCGTGTCCGGACATTTTTGCTGATTGCGTTGCTCGGTCCTATGAGGAAGGCGTTGCAACTGAGCCCTCGCGTTTGCCAGGCGAGATCACGGACTGTAGACTAGTCCTGCTCCCTAAACCGGGGAAAACCTCTAAGTTGCCGGGTGACCTTAGACCTTTAGGTATCCAGGACCCCACCTCCAAGGTTGTAGCTCGCATTGTCCGTGACCAACTGGCGACATGCATTGGAGCTATCTTAGATGCGAATCCACAGTATGCTTATTGCAAAGGTAAGGCCATAGACGAGGGCATCAGCCGCGTTGCTCAGTTCTGCAAGACCGTGCGCGGCAGGCTGCAATCCGGTGTGCATAGCGTGCATGCGCGCAGAGCGGGACGACAGCCTAGCACCTGCTACGGTGGAGTCATGGTCGGAGTTGACTTGAGCCGTGCATTTGACACGTTGGACCGGCCTTGCCTGCTGCGCACGCTTGAATTTGCACAAGTGCCTCAGCCATTGCAACGCTTGCTTTTGGAGATCCATAATCAGTGCCAGTACACTGTCACCCATGGACACTGTCAGGGCTCCTTCCCACTTCAATGTGGTGTCAGACAGGGTTGCGCTATTAGCCCTATGCTCTTTAGCCTCTTTACCTGCTGGTTTGTCACCGAATTACGACTACGCACATCGGAGGAATGGGTCTCCAAGTTTGTGACATGGTTTGCAGATGACTCCCATCTTGGATGGGAGGTCAGCAGCCCTGCTAGATCTCTGCGTGCCACCTTCGGTCTGCTGAAGGAATCCGGTATGTGTGCCAACCCCCTTAAATCAACCATAGTTCTGGGACTGAAGGGCAGTTACGCCAAGCGCTGGATTCGAGCACATGTGGTGTACTCTAATGGAAGGCGGTGTGTCCAGCTTGGCACACCGGTCGACCCGCTCGTCATACCGGTGGCTACCTCCTTTCAATATCTAGGAACTGTGATCTCTTTTGGGGCCATGGAGCTGCAGACATGCCGACATCGCCTGCAGATTGCGCGCATGCAGCGCACTCGTTTACTGCGATTCCTCCATAGTAGGCAGCTGACATTGCAACGTAGACTCACCCTTTATCTCGCTTGTGTCCGCAGCACCATGTTATATGGCATCCATGCTATCGGCATAAACGAGAGAGTTTTGCAGACTTTGGAGGTTGCTGACGTTAAGTTTCTCCGGGGAATCGCGCGTAGTCCTGTGCACCTGACGCACGAAAGTAATGTAGTGCTTCGTAGAAGACTGAGGGTTCAGGGGCCCACAGACGCCCTGGCTAGCCTGCTCCGCCGCAGGGTCAGTCGAAGTAGCGACGCCGACGCAGTGTGTGCCATGCAAGCCACGCTAACTGTCCTTATTCATACGCAAGCCCCTACCCAACCATGCAGAGGAGCCCTCACTGCTGTACATGTCAAACATTGGTTTGCCTGTCCAACTTGTGGCCAGTACTTTGGCACCATGCGTGACTTGCATACACACCAGTCGAAAAAGCATCGCAATCAGCCAAAGCCGGCCAAGCTCATGGCTAAGGCTCTTATGTCACATGCAGTTGACGGCATGCCGCAGTGCAGGCATTGTTCAGCATTGTTCACGCGGGTTGAGGCGCTTAAGAAACACCTTCAGGGTTGTTGTCCTGTTTTGTTTGGAACACGGCCGGAACTCTGCACTGCTGAGACGGGAGCATGCTCCCCAGTGGCGAAGGGACCCACGGGGAGCGGGGAGCCGAAGGGCGCCTCCCCACCTGCTCCGTCTCCGCGCCTGGCAACAACGGAGCAGCCAGCTGCTGCTGAGCAGCCTGGCGGCCACACGCCGCTTTTTGAGGATCCCGGCTTTCAAACTGCCTTAAGGCTCAGCTGGCGCACGGTCTTCACAACGCCTCAGTACAAACAATCCTTGCAGACTCACTGTGTGTTCTGCGGGCAATGGTTAACGATGACTGGGCCCAGTGTCAAACAGCATGTCAGGTTAACTCACCCCGAATATTGGCCCCACAAAGCTGATGCTGTAGCGCTTTGCTCTGAAGCTGGGTTTGTGCACTCCTCGCCTTGCCACTACTGTGCCCACTCCTACAAGGCCCCGCGGACACATGTCAAGCACTGTCCGGCCCTCTTCCAAGCTGCTCTTGCACGCCAGGTTCTCCAGCATGCAGGAAGAGGACACTCAAAGAGCAGCGGCCCTGGCGGAGATCAACCAGGTTTGGGGGACGGGAGGCATTCCCACGATCCCACTGGCCTCGAATTCCATGTCGATGCCGAAGGAGGCAGCGCCGGAGGGACGGCGCACTGCCGAAGTGGCACTGGACTCGAGGCAGTCCAAGTGGCGGAAGCCGGCGGTGAAGGGACACCCCGGCAAAGGCAACTGGTGGGATTCGTGGTCCAAGGAGTGGGAGAAGGACCAGCAAGCGCAGAGCTCCGGTCTGGACCGGCAGACCACGACGCTCCTCAAGGCCCTCACGAAGATGGCCTTACGGCACGAGGACGAGCTCTCCCGCATCAGAGTCGATTGCAATTTCATGCTGTTTATCGACGTGGAGGGAGAGCACAGTGTACTGCCAGTCATGCAGCAAACAGCTGCCAACTGGCAAGAAGCTTTCAGTGCGGGAACCGTGACAACATCGCTGCGGATCGTGCTGTTTGTCGGGATGATGCAGCAGCTCCAAGCTCGCCTCCAGGACTTGTTGCAGAACCAGGAGCAGATGGACCGCCTCATGGCAGTGGGCTGGCTTCAGCAGGGAGCCACAGCGCTCAATCCGGTGTGGCCGTTCTACCGATGGGATGCTGCCACCAAGCCCCAAGTGGTATCGGACCAAGCCCCGCTCACCCACGATCAGGTTCTTCACTGCGTGGATGCGTTGCTGAAGACAGCTTGCAACCCGTTGGTGCTCCTGCGCTTCAGGGCCGCCAAGGATCTGGAGGAGCCGGAGAGCGAAGTTGTTCCATTCCTGGTATCGGTGTCCCTTCGGGGGCAGCAGGCTCAGGATTGCTTCACCGCCCTGACCACGCTCTCGCACAACGGAGTCTTGAAGCTTTTGGGTTTGCGCCTGCGGCCCGAACGACTCCGCAAGGGCCCGATGGCGGAAGCAGTCGAGGAGGCCTATCTTTCCACGTCATGGACGGATTGGAAGCCGCGTCGGAACCGGCGCGGGGGGCGATAGAGGAGGATATCTTTGCTCCTGCAGGCCTTGCTGTTGTGGCAGCGCGTGTTGTGTCATTGGCGTGTGATGCCCACTGCATCCCGCAAGCCAAGTTGAAGAATCCACACAATGTCTGTTACATCAACTCTTGTGCGCAGGTTTTTTCAGTGGATCGGCGCCCTCGCTGGCCAACCACGGCTCTGCTATGGTGCAGCAGAGGCAGCCATCAGACTTGTAACAAAGCCTGGTAACCCTTTCCTTCCTAGCTGCCTGCCTTGGGTTCCATTAGTACGGGGATGGCGCCACATCACACGACAGCATGATGCTGCTGAATTCATGCAACATCTGCTTGCGCGCAGTGCTCCCTCAGCATACCACGGTTGCTGGCAATCACGCCTCTCTAACCCGCTGCAGGTAGTGGATGCTGGCAGGCTCGCTTCACCGCTGCCAATGGACTTGGCAGGAGACGACCTGCAATCAATAGTTGATGGCTGGGCTACGCAACATGCACCACATGCGTTGGTAGGCCACCATGGGGTTCTCGTGCTGCAACTCAAGCGCTACCACTCCGAAGCTGACATACCACAGAAAAACCGGCGCTCCATCAGCTTTGCGCCAGGACAGACCATCGCTGTTCCCGTCTTTGATGGTCCTGAGGGGATTAGTACCAGTCATCAGGCCTTCTATGTGGCATATACCATCATACATCATGGAGACACCACTACATCAGGTCATTATCAAGCTGTGCTTTGTGTGCCTGGGAGCGAGGGACCTGAAGCTGACTGGGAATTCCATGTTTGCAATGATCGTGTTGCCCCGAGGCCTGCTACTGAGGTTGATCTACACTCCATACGGAAGGATAGCTACCTCATAGGCCTGATTAGGTCCCCCTAATTCCTGGCCTCCAGGGTTAATGACCACCGCTGCCGATGCACAGACTGTGGCGTCTCTTTTCGGACACAACCGTGCAAAAGAGTGCTACTTATGTTGGCATGCGGATCACACCTTTTGAATTCGTGTTTTGAGAGTTCTCCACTTTCAGCTCTTGCACAGTCCTGTTGTTTTGGCCAAAGCATTGCAATAGTTTCGTGCCTCCCGGCAGCGCGCCTTGTCCGGCGCTTACTGCACCTGCGCTGTGTGCACCGGTAGGCTGTGATGGTGCCTATGCCTTCTTGCTTCTGCTTGATGCTAGCGCCTGCCGCTCCAGCTGAACTGTTGGTAGTTCCCGGTGACCCGTCATGGCCGTTAGCTTAGAGTTACCACGCCACATGTACCTGGTGGCGCTAGAAGAGCATCTTCTGATTCAGGCGTTACGTGCACTTCTGCCTGTTGATGGCAAGCCGTGCCCGCCGAACCTGGCTCTTGCTGCCCGGAATGATATCGTGGCGATCGCCCAGGATTTGTTGAGCGGTGAAGCACTGCCCACTTTTCTGCGCTATGCTGATGAGCTGGCGCTTCATCTACAGGGCGAAACACGGGTGATGTTCCCACCACTGCCGAGGGCTGCCGCTGAGTCCGGAACGCCTGCTGAGGCGTGTGCCGAAGCACACCTTCTGGAGGGCTCTGGTGCTCTTTGGGCGGCGATCAGACAGGTTGCGACTTTACTGCCGTTTCGTGATGATCGGCGACCACATGGCAATGGGCGCGTGATTGCCTTCGGTGCCTTCAATAAGGGCGGCTTGTTGGGCATCCACAAGCACACAACCAGTCATCAGGCGGTGTGCACACTGCTCAACGCAGCGGTGCGAGCAGTCTCGGCGCAGCACTGCTGGACTACGCTTGTGCTCACCTACAACAACCACACCACCCCGCACTACGACAAAGGTAACAGCGAGGTGGTGCCTAGTCTGTTGATGGGACTTACGCATCATGATTCGGGAGAAGTTTGGATTGAGCAACCTGGCGGCAGACACTACCAGCTTGTTGATGGCTCCATGGTGGCGGGTGAGCTGCACCATACCAGCGCTTGTGGCCTGCTCTTTTCAGGGGCAAAGCAGTGTCACGCCACATGTCAATGGTCGGGTGCCAGGATCACGCTCATTGCCTACACCATTCGATGCCATGATTTGTTGCTGCAGGGGGCCAGGGAATTCCTTGTCAAACTCGGATTCCTCCCGCCGTGCTAGGTCTTCTGGGTCCTAGTGTTGGTTCCTTTTGGTTGTGTGCCTCGCCTGTTTTTCCCCTCCTCTTTCCCCTCGGTTTCTAGGCTTAGGCTGCTGTGTCCGCTGAGTCGGACGTCGTTGCGTTGCACTCTGGGGCAAAGAGTGCCAGTGTGGTGTGCGCTAGTGACACATCACGAGCGAGCGACCATGCAAAAGATGCATGTAGTGTGCTGATGCAGATGCGCGGCTTGCCATGGTCATGAGTGCAGCTGCCTGATGCCTGAGCACTTAGGTCACTGCTGCAATGGCCTCTGCGGCTGATGTGCCGCCCGGCAATGGCATTCCTGCAGCTCAGATTCCCCCTCCGAGGCCCATGCTTGTTATATATGCGCTACACGGGGCTGCCAGCGAGCTTTTCCGGCTGGACGGCATCGTCACTGCTGCCGTGCCTGTCGCTTGGGCAGTGGAAGCAGCCACACTAGACGGTGTGATGCTGTCAGGCGCCAGCTCCTTGGACCAGGGGAATTTAGAAGGGTCAGGTTTTGCGAGACCGCCGGATGCCAGCTACTTGCTTTTGGTTTTCACTCAACGTGTTGTTCCACATGCGGTCCTACCATGGGCAATTTTCATACACGGCGTTGCCGGAGAACAAGGGTGCCGTCTCCTGGAAGGGACCAGCGGACGGCTTCGGGTCCTATGTTTCGCGGAAGGGACCGCGATTCTGGGACGCGTCATAGCGGCAGCGAAGCAGTGGCGACTTGTGGAGCTGAAGCTCAAGTGGGCATGCTAGGCACTTACAATCCGGGCTATGCTACCTGCTCCTCCTGGCAAGATGCCCGCTGGGAATGGGAACCTTCTACATCTGGGGCTACGGCCAGCAATGCCATGCAGCAAGCACCACCGCAAGCAACGTGGCTACGCATCCGGGCTGTACCGGTGATGAGGCGATGACTGGGACTGGCTCAGAGGGCCCCTCAGGGGGTATTTCTGAACAGTCCTCAAG